CAAAGAGAGCAAGCTATAGAAGAACACAAGAAGAGGGGAAAAGAAAAATGATGTCGGAAAGCAACAGAATACAAGTTATGCAGGATTGCTGCTATAGGTGCAAGACAATTAGTAAGTGGCCTCGTGGGATGCCAATCAGTTAGCTCTCTACCACCAAGCCCAAATAATTAGCTCTGTACAATTCAGAATGGGGCTTCCAGTTAGCGACCATTAATGCCTGGAGTGTTGAAATTAGGGAGGCAGGTTTCAAGGAATTCATTTTGAAAAGCAGAGCTCTATTAAGGAATTTGCCATACAGCTACAGTATAAACTCCAGATCATGAATTCTTCACATAACTTAGCATGCTTCTACGACAAGTTTGTTGTTAGTAAGGTCTTTCCCCCACAAACGGGGGCCGTGCACTTTTCTGCTCGATATTACCGTAAAAGTATGCTGAAGATGGATGGAGTCATTTTACTCCATTCTAAATTATGGGTTCACATTCAAAATAGAAAAAGCGCATTGGATTCAAATGAGTCCTTGGTACTCCTTCAAATCGGCCTGTGTGGATAGAGCGGTCACCAAAATGACCAGGTTCGGTTTATAATTTCAAAAGAAAACCGCAGTGAATTTACAGAAAGTATTTAGGGATGAAGAAGTGGAAAGCCATACCAAAATCTTTTACCCAATAAAACCTGCATCTGTAAAAGTGTCTATTTCAAGATTTTGGTCTATAATTCTGGATGAACAAGATGCACAGATTCTGGCAATAGAAAACAATAGATTAATAGTGTCACTTAACAGACATGCTATAAACATTTGAATTTATTTATTTATTTATTTTTTACACCTAGGACGTCTTCATTCTCGAAGAGTGACCTGCTTGACAGTTTAAAAATCAGTCTTAAAACCACACGCCGTACTTCGATTATAACACACACAAAATAAATCCCAACCCCCGAACATTGTTAGGTTGTCTACTTCATTTCTATATATTGAACAGCATTAAAAAGTTTAATAAAGATTTGTACGAACTTATACCTGCGAGCTCCAAACAACCTGTTTTAGCTATTACATTTAAAAAACAAAGCACGGTATGTACAAGGGCCACATCATATTTAAAACAGATCTTCCTTAGATAAGCCAGCTTCTTAGGGGAGGCAAAGAGGGATTACGAAGCATGTAGTTAAAGTCTGGTGCCACAGCAGCCAAATATCCCCCCTTGATGCTGTACCCCATGAGACCATCATTACTCTTCCCTAATAAAGAAGGAAAGTGATCAAAGGGAGATGCAGGTGTAAAACAAGTCGTCTTTCAGTCTATTACCATCTCCCCAATGCATTATAGCAATACCATTGAGGGTCCTACATTTCTGTATTTCACTAGATCCACGTACAATGCGTGTGCTAGGAGTTTCCACCTTGTGTTGAGGGTACTAAGTTACTGATAATTTTCTCTGGGGAAAGAGAAAATAGAATCCAGATGCCTACAGAAAAATGTAATCAAATCCCGAAGCAACGCTACCCCGCAAATAATACTAAATTGCCCAGGAGTCTTTTACTATAGCTACAAGGAAAAAAAACAACACAGTACTGGCAAACGCTATCAAGCTCAAATGTTAGACTTTGTGTGTTTATATAAACTAGATTCATCAAGTCATCAGGAACTCTGAACGAGTAAGATTTAAGCATTGATCCTGTGAGATGACCGAGGCAAGCAGATCCTTAAGCCAGGGTAGAGGCCTATTGAAGCTTATGGACTAAGGTCCATCCATATAAACAAATTTGGCCGCAAGCAGCCGATTTCTCCAGCTGGTGTAGTTAACCTGAAGTAGATGAAGTCAAGCTGCAACCTGCAGCAGCAAGCAAAATAAGAAACGAGCATACAAATTTCAGCCTCCCTTCGTTCAAGTGTATAAATTCATACGCTTGAATGGTGCCAGCCAATTCTTGGGAGAGACCATCTAATTTCCAGGAGTAATGTATGGTCTACCAAAATATTCCTCCCCTAATTTGTCTCACACTGGAAAGATATTTAGTCTCACATGTCAGCTTTAACCTGGTGGATTTGAGCTTTCTGCATTTGCAGTTTACTGTGCTAGCTTAACAAATACATACTACAATAAATAAACTGAGTTTCTTTTCCAAGGAGACTGGCCTGTCTCACGTTTAGTTACACCAGTTGCAGCCCTGCAATCGCAGGTGCACCTGTACTCATCCACAAATGATGCCTGCCCTCACGTTTCCTTGTATCCAAGTACAACAAACACAAAGACTGTTGAATATCAACACTGGGTCAAAGTCAATCCCCCGGCAAATCGACAGGAGAAAACCACACCGCTTCACAAGAAATCCGATGTTAGATCTAGACAAAAATGTAAGACGGTCTATTTGTAAAACAAAGATTCAGACATATTGCAAGGTCTGCTATACAACCAATTCCCCTTGCCTCTGTGCATCAGAGACCTCAACTCCATCAAAATCGGTAGTTTTCCTGTTGAGGGAGACATGGGCAGTGCAACGTAGATGAGAAACGTGAATGTATCTTCCCAAGAAAACTCCAGGCAGGGACATTCAGGTATGATCAAGTTCAATACCGCACCACTTACAAATGAATGCAGTCGGCGACGTGATTACACAGCCCCTCTCAGACTAATACATCTTGCGTGACATTCACTCTCAGCAATAATTCCATTAAGAAAAATAACCGCTCTAGGTACGGGTCTATGGACTTATTGGTCTCTCACCACCCATTCCAGTTAAGTAGCTAGACCATCACCCCCGCCCCAGAACACCTCTGTTCGCTTAGCAGAATAAATTCAAATATTAAAAACTTACAAATCCTGCTTCTGTCAAAATCTCTTTTTCTTGATCCAGCTGCTAAACCCCAGCTGGACATGTGCAAGAAACCCAAGAATTTGCAGACAGCCCTTGGAGCACACTAGCTGAATAAAAGAGTAAGTAAATGGTACTTCATCTCATCACCATTCAAACAAATGCTGGAACAACAGTAAAAGAAAACAGTCAGTGCCAGGTCTGACAGTCCGTGCCCTGCAGAGGGGACCATATTTGGAGGAAGCCATCTTCTACAGCAGCATACACTATCTTGCAGCCATCATGGTTTGTTTTTAAACTATGTTCCCCAACATGACAGCTGGCTGTGCACTGAAAAGACTGAACTGGCTCCTGGAATATGCTATATACCCTGCATTTTTTTTTTTAAATGTGACATTTCAAGAAAGAGGAAGAAGGTTATTAAAGATGAAGTCCTCCCGTCTCTAAAAGAGATGCCATGATTGAGCTACTTAAAATAATCCCTTCCTAAAGCAATGCCCTATCCCCTCCCCCCCCCACCATAGGACACACTTGCAGAAAATGCAACCCTTGTTTTAACAGCAGGGCAAATACCGGCCAATTTTAATAAAAGAATTTTTTTTTTGCAAAAATCTTGTTGGTCTAATAAAAGCTAACCTCTCTACTATGAGTCCTAATTGCCTTTTCCTCTAGATCAATATAGTTACAACCTGGGTACCTAACCCCTACTGAATGCCTAAAAGCCCTATTGTGACAAACTACGGAGGAAATATTTAGGACTAAAAGTTGTTAAAGAACAAAAAGCTGGAGTGGTTTCCTTTTTTTTTTTAAAAAAAAAAGAAATCAAGCTTACAACATATTGGGAGGTTTTTAAGTGAAAGGTGACAAGGAGAGAGGCAAGGCGTACTTTTACATGGACGACCTTAATATGAAACGAAGAATCGAAGGGGCGGGGGGATAATGCAAACAGCTCCAATACTGAGGACCATCTGCTCAGAATAAGTACTTCTGCACACAGCTATCAACCCGGGGCTGGAGGAAAGAAGAGAGGTTGTGCGACCTAAACTAAGGGAGGGAAAAGATAGAAGCTGAATTCAATATTTGGATATAGATCTCTCTCTATAGATCTGTAGATCTCTCTCTATATATCTATATAGATATAAATATCTATATATATCTATATAGATATATATAGATATAGAGAGATATCTATATCTAGAGAGAGAGATCTATATAGATCTCTCTCTATATAGATCTCTCTTTATATGTGTGTGTGTGTGTGTGTGTGTGTGTGTAGAGAGAGATCTACATATGTGTATATATATAGACAAAGACAGAGAGATACACACACATGTATATACACAAATATGTAGCAAAAGAGATACACATATAAATATGTGTATGCGTGTATATATATGAGAGATACGTGTGTGTGTGTGTGTCACAGAGAAAGAGAGAGACACACACACATATATAGAAATATTTGGATGCTCGTCACACTGGGGTGTGAGGGGCCGCGAAATCAGCCTTGATTTCCAGCCCTGAAATCGAACTCAAATCCTCAATGTTTCCCTCATTTCACAAGCCTCAGACACAGGCATGGTTTAGCAAGGCGCCCTCGCAGCCAAAACACAGCCGCTCGGACCTCGCCGGTTTGTGGGTGCTGCTGCCCCCCTC